CTGGGGGGGGGGGGGGGGGGGAAGTTGGAGCGTGTGGGCGGCGGGGAATCATAAAATCTCCCACCAAATTCTCGAAAAGCCCCGGACACAGCAGCAGCCGCATCAGTTGAAATAACTTCCCCCAAAAATTCGGACGGCAAGCACGGGGACCCCCGCCCCCCCCTCCCACCCCCCCCAACCAACCAACACAACGTCCACCTAGCGTTGCAACCCAATCGTCCGCTCACCGATTTGATGACTGTGAGGTGGGTGCCGAGGCTTCGATGCCTGCCTGCACATTTGACGCAAAGCAAGATGCCGTAGGTGGGTCCGCCCCAGCTTGTTTCGGGCGCCCCGCAATCCATGCACGCGCTGGTGGGGGGGGGGGGGATCGTGAACGTGTCGGTCGTTGGGGTGTGGGATTTGACGGAGCTAGGGAGCGTCCGGAAGAGAATCGTTCAAGAGGAGGTAGCTGTATGTATGTGTTGTTCTGTTGTTTGTTGTTGTTTGTTGTTGTTGTTGTTGTTGTTGTTGTTGCTGGTGCTGTTGCGGCTGTTGTTGTTGTCGTAGTTGTTGTTGTCCTTCACACTCCGAAACCGCCATGGTCTTTATCGAGTACCTTCTCTTCTTTCGTACTCATCCAAACCCGGAATGATAGTACTTTCCACCGCCGCAGGCTAACTCGAGCGCCGCTTCTTTCATTACCCTCGATTGACCTATCCGTCTGACCTACGAAAGCAAAGGTCGGCTCGGTCTAGTTGGCATGTGAGTGTGCAAAAAAGGTGTGTGGGGTCCGGGCGGCGGCTCAGGTTGACTGAACACTTATCTATTGCTAACTGAAGATGTAAACTGCTTCGGGCTGGTTAACATCAATACAGAGTAGGTCGCACAAGCTACCACACACAACCCCTGGACCGATCTTCAAAGCTCGATTACTCTGCAGCAACAACGGCACGACGGTGCCGAAAATGGCGGCGTCGGAACCATCTCGTCGACAATTTTTCCGAAAAATGTTCATGTGATATTTGCATCCTACCTTTTTATCGTGTTGAAATCGAAATTGGGTCCAGGGGGTGCGGTATTTTTTGCGACCTTTCCTACCACGGTACAACATGAAGATCCACAACATCATGTCCCATGAATCGACGGCAGAGGGCTCACCAGGAAGGCTTGCCAAGGGGTTCAAGAGGGGAGGTTCGCGGCCACAAGAAGGGCGTAGAAAAGGGGACTACTTCTGTGTCGCCATGCGCATTTGGCTACCACAGGAAAGACAGGCACTTGCTTTGGCTGGGCCATCTTTGTCACTGCTTTTCGATCGCCTCAAAACACTTTTCTTCAGAGCTAATTTACTGCTACTGAGCGCGGTGAATGCTGGTCAGTGACGAAAACAACAGGCACAGAAGCACAAAGACGCAGCTGCAAAAAACTTCGGCAGGGCACCGGGATATCAACTAAGGGCACGGTGTCCGCCATAGCCTTGCTTTGTTGTAGTGGACACCACCGTCCGTGGTCAGGTTGCAGTAGACGGAGGTAATGATGTACTGCTTGCACATAGTGCAAGCAAGTGGCAACGGGCACCTAACGCTCATCACCACAGCACTACTCGAGTACTGCTGCGATTCCCCGTTCGCTACTTATTTACAGTTCAGATCACCGCTACTGCTACAAAAAATAGTTCCTCTCTATTTCCCATACTACGGCAAGAGATACTTTCACTTTCACAATGGTACTACTGTAGGTTGTACCTGTGTCCCTCCCTGGCCGCTTCATCACATGTCACTCTCACAGCTGATCAGAACAACAGCGGATAGATCACCGGTCTCGCAAATACATCGCAGTATGTAGTTCACCTGTTGCCTTCCAGGCGTTGAACCCGCTTCATCGCCGCTTTCGGGAATGGACCTGGTTCCCACATTGTGTGTGTCGGCCCTCTCCGACGCAGGTGCTGTGTGGCCTGTGCTACGTACTTGCTGTGTGCTGCAGCTGTGCAGGGTTGTTGGGTTGGTCGCGTGGTTCGCTCGGCGGGGCCCTGCAGACTATATTCGCGGCTACCTCGTTCCCCGATTTCGGAGTTCACCACACAGCACACACAGCAGTCACCAGAGAGTCAGGTAAAGGCATGGCCACGACTGGCGATGGAGCTCGCCGGTTTATGCACGCCCTGGCGGCGATGCTTCTCGTAGCGTGCTCCTTTCCCTGCGCCGTGGGGGACGGTTCCAGCGCTGCGGCAGTGCAACAGAAAGCCAAGGCTCTTCGTGACGCCGTGGAAGGCAACAACAGAGCGCCTCCCGCAGCAGAACCTGTTGTTGTAGCTCCGGAACGGGATAGCCCAGGGTCGCTCTTGGATCGCGGTACTGCGCTGCTGTATGCAGGAAAATCCAAGGATGCGGTGGCCGCCTTGGATGCGGCGATCACTGGGTGGGAGGAGGAGGTACAGCACGTACAGGGACCCGTAGAATCGTAGAAATGCGGTTTGATTTTTTAGTATGCAGTTGTTCCGCACCGCACTGCTGCCGTTGCTCCTTTGGTTCGTGATTGCCTGCAGCGCTTTGTTGTACTTCACACACCGCCGTAGCGGAGGATCTCGGGGCGACCAGGTGAACATTACCACTTGTAAGTGATGTTGCAACATCACCGCCCTCCTTACGAATAACTCAGGCACTTAATCTCACACCGACAAAGGTTATCTGCAGCCCCACGCCTGCAGCTACTACGGATATGTAGTGGCCCAAGTACAGTTCACAAGAGATCCCCTGGGCATGTGTCCACCCAGCGAGATCCATACTTCATGGTTCGCGTGCGTTGCGGGCCATTCGGTCACAGGTCGCCCCGCTGGTCTACAGTTAATACCCTGAAGCACATTTTAGAGGTCAGGCTGAGAGCTCGAATCTCGGCCTTGCCCCCCCCCCTCCCCCGGTCGCTCCTCCCACACAGGGCGATCATGTACTCGGTAGACTTGATGGAAGGAATAATAAGCTTCTCGTGTTTTACATGTGCGTACTGTAGAAGGAATGGCATGCACAGCAAAGAGATCCATCTGTTGACCGCACACGGACCTCTTGATCAGTGTGGTTACGCGAGACCAGGCGATTCAGAGCAACCGCGAGCGACGGTTATGGAACGGCATGGCGAGAGAAACACTAACGACCAGTCTAAGGCTGCCATCTGAGGTGCAGCACGAACATTTTCAACCCGCTCCCCCGTCCCCACCTAACCATTGCCAGAGTAGGAAGGAAAAATTGGCCATCGGTGATCGGTCCTGCCGGAACAATGCTCCGTCCTCTCGAGGACGCGTGGTCAATGGTCTACCGACCCGTTTGCATTCTTAGTACACCCGCCCCCACCGCCACCTCTGGCCAACACCCGACCATCCCAGATGGGGTCGGAGAAGCTGAATAGCGAGGCGGCTGCGCTCACGGCGCAGCGCCTGGGAGAGGCTCTGGCGCTCGAGGGGGACCACGAGCGCGCTGCCTCGGTCTTCGGCAGGGCGGTTGTCGCGAGCGAGGCTCTGTTCGGGGTAAAGAGCACTCAGGCCGTGGCGTGTTTGACGGGCCTCGGGCTCGCCTTGTTCCGGCAGGTGACAGTTAAACGCGGCGCCAAACGGCAAAGTATTCGACGGGTGTACGTGTTGGGTGTAGGGAGCGTAGCTGCCGACACTTCACCCCCCCGCCAGGTGTAGTTCCGCCGGCGTTACACGTACCGCGGCGGAAACTCTTGGTCTGAAGTATTGGTTTGTGTGCTGCAACATGCATTCCTCTCTCTGCCGTCTAATGATACTCACGTCTCCTTTGTTCAATTTTGGGAAACTTACTTCCTGTCTCACGCACTCGTTCTCTCCGTTTTCACTCCTTGTATGCAGGGCCAACTGTCAGACGCAGCGTCCACGCTTGGGAGGGCGCTGAGCGTCCACGCGCTCAGGCCGGACGAGGGCATGGTGACGTCCACCCAAGACGTGACCAAGACCCTGGACGGCCTGGCAAAATCACTGATTCGCCGTCCCCCGGAGGGGGGCGAGAGCGAGCTTGGCGGGGCATTGCTGGCCGTGGACCACATCAACCCCCTCGCGGGGCGCTATTTCGTGCAGAAGCTGCCGCATCAGGGGGAGTCCGTGATGACAGAGGGGGGGGGGGGGGGGGGGCGTACTCTGATGTTTTGCATGTCTTAGCGGTTAGACCATTGACCACGCGTCCTCGAGAGGACGGAGCCTTGTTCCCACAGGACCGATCACCGATGGCCGATCGTGCCTTCCTACTTTGCCAAAGGTGGCTCAAAAATGTCTTCCCTAGTCTGTCTATCCTAACGATATCCCTTCCCGCCTTTTCAAACCACTTCCTACTCCCCAGTACAGCTACCGTCCTCTCCTCTCTATTCCATGCCTCAAACATCTCCCTGTACCTCCCTTGTATTTTTCCCAGCTCAGTCATGTACACTTCCCTCTCCTTATTGTACAGCCGACATTCCGCGACTACATGAACACGGTCTTCGCATTCGAAGCCGCAATCACATTAGAACTTGTCGTCTTCGTCGTCTACCGTCCAATGTCTTCGTCGACGTTCTCGAAGGTCTATGTCCCCGGTCCTGAATTTGACCTTAGGCTTTGTCCCTGCATCCATTGGTCCATGTAGGTAATCCTTGAACACTATTCCTTCTTTCAATATTCCGTACATTTCTAGACCCTCCTTATCCTCGGTTTCTTTCCTTAGATTCTGTTTTTCTCTCTCGACACAAGCAACAGATATCTTCTCCTTGAACCCCTGTAGACCCTCCGTTTCCAGCGTTTTATCTTCGTCGATGTCGAACCCCTTCCATACGTCCTCTACAACCTTGACCCATTCCGTGGGTTGTCTACCCCTCTTTTTGTTTGCCCACTTGGCCCCCCATACTATTCTCGGCAACCTCTCCTCTCCCATCCCGCACATGCGATACTGCCATGTCAGCTTCCTTGCGTCTCTTCCCGACCGTAGGGATTGGATCCCCAATTCTGCCCTGACGGCTGCATTACTTGTGCGCTTGGAGCATCCTAGGATGATTTTCGCTGCTTTTATCTGCGCCGCCTCGAGTTCTTTCACTGCCTTCTGATTTCCTTCCCATTCTCCGGCGTACTCTAGCGGCGGTACGATTATGCCTTCAAAACCGTCAATTTGATGCGTATGTCGAGGTGCCGGTTTGCGAGTATTGGGTGCAGCTTCCCTGCTCGTTCTTTGCCCTTTTCCGCTACCTTGGACATGTGTGCATTCCACGAGCAGTCTTTTGCGATCTCTACTCCGAGGTATGTGTACTGGTCCACTACTGCAATCTCCTCGATCCCCCACTTCCTATGTTCTACTGGTTCCTCCCTGTCCTCGTTGCATACCATGACGGGTTTCTTCTTAACGTTGGCAGATAATCTCCACTTATCAGTAAACTTCTTCGCCACGTCAATTTGCAGTTGCAGTCCCTCAGGGGTGTCCGACATACCATCAAAATCATCCGCAAATAGCATTCCTGACACCGAAGTTTCCGTGTCCCCTACTTTTACTCCCTTCCGGACTGCCTCTACGACTTCCAACAGATCGTTGATGAACACCTGGAACAATGTTGGGAACAGCGTGCAACCTTGTGGGACCCCCTGCTCAATGTCGAAGATTTTAGACAGTTCTCCGTCTAGCATGACCGCGCTTTTCGTACACTCTGTCATCTTGTTCAGCACTCTCCACATTTTCCCCTTGATCCCGTACTTGGACAATTGTTTCCACAGCCCATTTCTCCATACGGTATCGTATGCCTTTTTCACGTCCAGGAAGAAGCAGTACGTCGGCTTTCCCGCCCTCTTTCTACCTTGGATGATTCTCCCTACCGTGAACGCGTGGTCTACGCACCCCCTCTTCTTTCGGAAACCTGCCTGGCCCTCACTAATTCTACGTTCCTTTTCCAATACTCCCACTATCCTATCGTTCAGCAGCTTACAGAACACTTTTCCTTCTGTGTTCAACAGTGTGATACCTCTGTAGTTTCCTGGGTCAGTCTTGTCTCCTTTCTTAAACAAGTTCACAACCACTCCTTCCCTCCATCTACTTGGCGCATACTCGTTTTTCTACACCCAGTTGTACAGCAGCACCATCAGCTGGATCATCCCCCTCCCCCCAAACTTCATGAACTCGTTGACTATCCCATCCGCCCCTGCTGCTTTGTGGCACTGCAGCTTGTTCACATACGCCTCAACCTCGTCCCCAGTGAACTCCTTTTCTAGTTCTACGTTCCCAACGTCTGCCTTCGATGTCTCTTCTTCTTTCTGGGCCCATGCGTCCACCTCCTTCTTAAACACTTGGTCAAAAGCTTCATTCTCCGAAGGGACTCGAAGTCTCTTGTAGTGTCCTGCTAGAACTTCCCTTTTTCCCTTCCCACTGCTGACTAGTCCACCGTTCACACCTCGCAAAGTTGCTACCCCTGTATCCCCCCCTTGCGCGGTCTTTTTTACCATCCCACTAAATAATCCCTTCCCACATCTGCTTGACGTTCCCCTCCAGGCCTCCGTTGGCCTTCTGCACTACTTCGTCCCAAATGCATTTTTTCTTCTTTTTCACTAAATAGTCCCTTCACCTGATGACAGAGGTGGTGGGGGGGTGATTTGGCTTTCGGCGTGTCATGCCTGTCGGGGTAGTCGCTATACCTGAAGATGCGGTTTGGGTGAACGCGTGACTATACTAAATAGATAAGTAGAACGGGTTGAGCAGCGGGGGTGACGACGAACAGGATGGCTCCGCTGATGTTTGGTACATACGATGGCTAAAGTCAACCGCTAACTCCGTGCTACTAAATGAATACATGCGACTCCAATGAACTTGGATTCGGTGGCGCGTGTTACGTCCCAAAGTCATTGCTTTCTGGCCGAAGGCTCGACGGCGAGGTGGTGGTTTACTCCATGGCACCGGATTTACCGCGTAGCACACCCTTGTTCAAAAGAACCGCCTCCCCCTTCCCCCTACCCCGAAAGGTTCTCCAATCACTCTATGTGGAGAAGGAAGACGCTGGGTCGTCGGAACCTTCCGCGCTGAGAGACCTCGTCATCTCCGCGTTACTCTTCAACCTGGGATTCCTCCGCCTGGCGGTCCTCGGGGAGTTCAGTTCCGCCGCAAGCGTGCTGCAGCAGGCAATCGAGCTCAGGAAGGCGGTGCTCGGAGAGGCGCACAGCCTCACGATGCAGGCGGTGGTGAGCCGGGGCTGGGCCCTAACGCTCACGGGGGACACGCTGCTTGCCGTGGAGGAGCTCACCAGGTGTGACGGTCGGAGCGGGGGATACACGCCGGGGAAACCGGAAGGGTGCTTCGTTGAAGGGTCTGGTGTGCGTTGGGTTCCCTTTCTTGGTCGCCTATGTACTCGGCGGGAGGGGTCCGTGGCATGAGCGGCGCGAGGATGGGGGTGAGGGTGGGGGGAGCGGCGATAGAGGACGGTTCGAAAGAGTTGCGTTCTTTCACGGGGGTCTGCGAACACCGACAAGAATGCCCGGCGTTCGGCTTCGGCCACCAGGACGCCACAACATGCCCGCCACGGCCCTTTCCCTTTTCCCGTTGTGATGCAGAGCATGACGCTTGTGTTTGCGCGCACGTCGTCTCCTTTGCCTCTTTCTGCCCCCGTTTTCTCCAAGCGCGGCCGAGGCGCTGCTCTCGGCCGGGCAGCCACATGCGGCCGACAGACTCCTCCGCCAGGGGTTGCAGCAAGGGTACGACCCCCTTGGGGGCGCCACCTACGCCCACGCCTGCTACACGCAGCATTCCAACATGCTCAGGGCTTGGGGTAGTGAGGTGAGCGGGGTCCTCTCTCTTGCTGCAGCAAGCCATGCTTCAGCGATGCAAGCCTGTGAGCGAATGCTGTTGCTGTAACCCAAATAAAAAAACGATC